AAAACCTGACAGGTGTTCTAATGCATCTCCACTCTATCCAAAGCTAAAAAAATAAGTTTTTCCTTTAGTTATACTTTAAGCTAATAATATATTAGAGTTTACAGTGTATGCATTTTTTTCTACAAATGCAAATAATAATGTGAAAGATCAAAAGCTTAGCAGTATTTACGAACCACAAATAAATGTATTCTGGGAACAGTGATCCAGAAGGATGCTTTTCCTTGCGGATGCATAGATGTGTAACTAAAAGCCATATGATTTGGCACAAAACTTAAACTACGGCCAAACTACACTGTATTTCCTATGAACAACTCTTCCATGTCCATTTATGGTGTTCTAATTTTTCTTTTCAATTCAGTAAAGTTTACCAATGCCCTTAACCTAACTGAAAATTAATTTTTATTTAAAAAAAACAGTATTGTAATGAGTCTAGCACACTCATAAGAAAAACTTAACTCTGTTTCTAAAATCAACAAAATGGTGGCCACTTACACCATTATTAACTTACCATGCAGGCTCCTATTGAGGAACACTCCCAGCATTCAATGCACTTGAGCTCACTCCTGCCCTCTCCTCCTCTGATCTCTCTGCCCCCTGGTTAGCTAATTTTTGGGGATCCTGTGAAGATTTCGAAGCATTCACAAACTCACAATACTACCTCGGCAGTGCTGAATGGAGAGCAGCACTCCCATCTCTGGCATTACACAGTCAGGTGAAGCTGACAATACCCAGTAAGCAAGCACAATTTTGTTAATAAATTAAAAAAAAATCCATGCTATTACCATAATATATCAGTGAAAGACTAAACCAAATAGATTTGTGTAGCTGCTGTCACAAACAACATGTGTTGCCAATAATAAAACAGAAAAAATGATAATAAACAGTGATCACGCTTATATAATGTATACAGCAATCACAAAAATGTTCCTGAACTGCATATCTCCCACATGCTCAGCGGGATTATGACAATATGTTCTCCACTCCACCATGTGCCAATAAACATATACCGAACTCACCAAATGTGATTGACCCTTTGTATGTACAAGAAAGTCAAACCAAGCTTGTTGTATTATGTATCTCCACACCAAACACAAGAACCATATAAGATCAATCAGAAAGTTAGCCAGAGATGCTGCTGATTAGCAGGATTATTATCTCCTGAGTCTTCATAGAATCACCATGCATAACACGAGGAACATTAAGAAGGGAAAGGGGAAGCCTTCCATATATTCACAACATAAACAACATAAAATTGCACTTACAATGTGTTAGAAAATATCTGGCATTCACAATACACCAGCATTCACTGATGGTATTCCAGCATGCATTCCACTGGACCTGAAGTGAAATCTCATCCCACACATTTCATCATAGACATGCGATGTCCTCAGGAGCTACATTGCATGTGTATGATGAAATGAGTGGGGTGAGCCTTCAGGTATACGGCACTTCTGGTTTTGTGGAACACATCCTGGAATATGCTAATCACATCTCCGTTTGTGCAGAAATGCACATGTGACATGCACACTCCAGGTATGATCTCCCTCCTGTACGGCTCACTCACAACTACTGCCTAGTGTGCTAGGTTCATTAAATAAGGATTTATTTAAACAAAGGTGCTGCTGTCCTTTAAAAGGCTACTAAAGGCTTAAATGTCTGCTAACATAAAGGAAAGATATATGCTGCTATATTTTTATATTGAATGTGATATAAATACAAAGTTGGGGATAAAGCAAAGTAACAGTTGACCTAAAATACAAAGTAGTTGCACCTCCCTGCACCCCTATAGTTATGCTCCATACCTACTGCAATGGAAAAGCAGATGATGCAAGTTCTTCAGCTGAGACCCTTACCTATTACAGTATGTGTCTGTTCCTCCTAATATATCATACCGACATAATAGTTTATATAAGATCAGAGCAGGAAAAGCACTGCATCAAGAAAGTTGATAACATGTTTTCTAACCTTCAGGCCATTTTGATACTCTTTGGACTTTGTATCCATTATCTTTCTGTGCTCTTCAAAGATTGCACCCATGCGGTCGTGCCACTGAAAAGTTTTGTTGTTTAGACGAATATCTGCAGGGGACAGAGTGACGTAATCTACAAGGAAAGTCAAACGGTCTTTGGATTCTACCAGTTTTCTTTCCAAATCTAGCATGTCTTGAGCTTCAACTTTTTGTATATATTCCTGTTATTAAAAATGTATTAATGAATAAATTGCAACTGAACCTCTGCAGAGTGTATTTACAGATGAAAACTGTCGAATGAATTTACTTTCAAAAGCTGTATATGCTACACACATGTTGTTAGTAATCCTAAATTTTGCAAGACTGGAAATAATTTAGTGTTATCTATTACGTCATAATGCTGCCTTTAAACCTTGCAATGTACCCTTCTTTCATGGCATGCTCTGAAAGCCTTGATTGGTTCAAAAACATGTATAGCCATTATAAATGCCACTTTCTCCTACATATGCTGAATGTGGTTATTTGTAGTAGAGGTGCTTTACAAACAGCATATTTGAATGTATATGTTCATTTTATCTATGCATTAAAACATTAAACAGGGTCACTGCTGCCATGACACAAGGAAGCTGATTCCTACTGGAGAAATTAAAATGAGAATTAAAGTTTTTTGACTATCAGGACCATCAGCAGGAATCATGTTTAACTTTTCCATAAACTGAAAGGTGAGATGTAATTGGTTATTATTAGTGATAGTTCCACTTTTTTCACTTTTATTGCGCTTTTGCAGACTAGCCTGAAATTGAGAACATTCTTTCAGACAAGACCTTCTTTCAGTAGGTATGTGACCAGGATCTCACTATGCTCCCTGTACTTTGCTACTTTCTTCATCTTCCGACACTAAATTGGAAGATAAGTAGTGAACTGGTGCAGAGTCTACACTGAAGTACAATTCCCTCGCCTATATACAGATATGGCTGCATTGCTATGGGTAGCAGCTATGTTAGCAAAGAGAAAAGTGTTGCCTAGGGTAATTTGAAAATAATGTTACTAGATTATTTTTGCAACTTTCTTCCTCACACTATCTGTTCACATAAACATATGGACAGGAGCAAAAGCGTTAGAGACTTATGGGCAGATTTGGGTGTCAACATTTTGATGGTGTACATGGGAGAAATGGTTTTGTTTCTTAAATTATTATTATTGTTTTTTAACATAATTATGTAATATGGTGAATCTGCATTCATGAAGTGTTTACAATTAGATTTGAATCTTGATACCTTTAACTCCATAAGTTCCTGAGTGTTTGGAGGAGTGCTTAGAGCTTTTTCAGCAATCTTCTCAAAGTCATTACACAACCTGGAAAAATACAGTGCATACATGTGTTTTTGAATTTAGGATTGCAAGCACAAAAAAGATAGTTATTCATTTTTGGTTGTGAGATGTATTCTCCAGTACAATATTTTGCTTTCTGAAAAAATAGTGACCTTGGAAAACATTTCACATTCTTGCATAGGATTGTAAGCAAGAAGAGAGGACTAGTTGGAGTACCAGATAATTTGTCCCTTTGTGCCTAAACTATTTAATAGTTTTAATATTTATTAGTGATGAGCTAAAGTTCAGCCTAAACCCAGTTCGGACCTGCAGAAAACACATGATAGCAGGCTGCCAGCTTTGGTTAGGCAATTCTCTGACCCACAGTCGCACATGCCATAGTCTGAGATGCTTGTGACATTAGTGACCTAACATGACCACATGGCCATATTAGGATGATAATGTCAACAGCATCCCCACCTCTGTTAATGAGGCTGCTGGATGGGCGATTCCCCAGCCACAGCTGATTAGGCATGTGATCCTGTGGGATTGGGCTGAACTTGGTTTGGCCTAAACCTTAGTTCATCATCCTCACCTCCTTTATGAATCACCAACAAAAGGTTATCAGATTATAACAGCTTCAGTGGAAGTATGGCCAACATTATTCAAAGCTGGAAGTATGGTCAACATTATTCAAAGCACCTATATCCAACACTGACACTTCTGAAATCCCTTTACCTGTAGAAACATTTGAAAGCCTTATTTCCAGTGTCAAATTAACCCATTAGAAAACCCAAAACCTTGACACTACAAATCACCTCTGCCTCAAAGGAATAATTTAAAGTTCTACAAATCTAACACTAATTCTCGCCATGCGTGTGGAAACTATTACTGGGACTTAAATAGCCCAAGGACATAACCAACCTCTGCAACATTCTCCAAAACATACCATCCTTTGCCAAATTCAACCACTTACTGAGATTGGAAAAAGTACCTGAGGATGACAATTACTGTCACCAAGTGCAAACTATTTTTTAGAGCGAATAATAAACAAACACATTATGTCAACCACTGAGAAATCTCTCCCCCAAAAATCTTTAATATGGAACCTGATACTGTACAAATTAAGTAAATACTTTAAAGGAAACTCCTGCAAGTGTTGGAAAGAATATGATTAAGTAGGGTACCTTACACATATCATTTGGCCCTGCCCTTCACTAATTGCCAATATTTTGATAGTAGCGAAATTTATAATTACCACTAACTGGACAGGCACCCATGATATCTATCCTACCCAATAGAATAGATTTCCTTTAATAGTTTTATTAATGAAAAATTATTGTTCAAAAAAGAGAACAACGCTAAGCAGTTCTTCCTCCAATGGGATGCCTGTTGAAGCTTTAGAAATATGCTGTACATTGTAAACATTTTTACTTTTTATAATGTAATTCACTCCTCTCAAATGACAAGATACTGCATTCATAAAAATGCTGTTTACTCATATTGCAGAAATATTATCTAGTTGTAGTTTAGTCCTGGCTATAATAAAGAAAGAAAGTATACTGTACATAAAACTACTACATTTTCCACACTAAAATCACCACCACATGGATCAATCGCACTAGGATATTACATGGCAAACTGTTTAATTAAACCAAAATGTTCACAAGAAAAATATGAATTAAAATAAACGTCAGCTTAGATCTCACCTTATATTAGCATTCTGGTGATCTTTAAACATTTTCTCTATCAGTTTTCCACAAATTGCCTCTGAACGTTTGGCCAGAGCTCTGATTAATTCATCACAGTGGAGCTCAAACATCCCTAAGCGAATAATCTGAGAAAGTAGAGAAACTAGGGCAATTAGTGTTTTCATGTATCTTTATACACATACAGTTAAAAAAATATTTTTAGCCTTACAGCTTTATTAACCTAACTTACTTTTGTATATCAATGGTTTTTTATTACCTTTTGTAAACAATTTAACAAGAAGGATTAGAGCAAAAGACACACCATGCAGGGGCTATCAATGGTACATAAAAAACAAAGAAATCAGTATTGTAACTCCAACAAAGGAAGAGGTGTGCCCACGAAGGGGCTATCAATGGTACATAAAATACAGAAACAGTGATAAAACACCAACAAAAATTTCCAGCCAAAAGCTGCTGGACGCTGTTGGCAAAGCTGTTTAAAGACTGATTTTTGATATGGAAAGGCGGAAGTGCCACGCAGTGAGGTCAACCAGTGCCGCAATTGAAGGTAAGGGAGAAATTCTGCCTGAGGGATATCCCATGATTCCCAAAAAGAGTTCCAGGTGGGGAAGGATCAAGAGGTCAAAAAGTGTTGTACCTGCAAAAAACCGTTGGCCACCCACCATGAGAACACCCCAGGCTGATCCAAACCCGGTGGAAAAAAAGGATTATTGATAATCAAGAGCAAGGGCAGAAAGGGTGACATCAAGTCACTAGAGTAGTGTACCGAATCCCACACTCGTAGGTCGTGGAGCAAAATGGGACTCAATGTCCTTGGGCGTTGGGCCGGGGGAGCCATAAAAGCATCGACGTCGCAATGGGGGCACAGTTAGGCATTTCCAAAAGGACCCAGAGAGGAACATCAGAGGAAGTGTGCAGTATAGACAGTGGGGCAATCTGGCCCGCCTGGTAATACTTAGCTAGATTAGTCACCCCAAGACCTCCCTTCAGTCTATGGGTAAAAAGCATGTTTCTTGAGACTCTGGGGCATCTGTCAGCCAAGATAAATCACATAATCCTTGCCTGAAGTAACCAGAGAAAATGAGAAGGAACCTGCACTGGGAGGGTGCAAAAATAATACAACAATTTAAGCAGCATAGTCATTTTCACCGAATTAACCCATCCAATCCAGGACAGTTATGGGAATTGCCAAGACTGCATGAAGGAGGACACAGAGCGAAGCAATGGATAATGATTTGCAGTAAACAAAGAGCCATAAGTGGGAGTCAGGCGAATCTTCCAGGGAGTACAAAGCCCATTTGTAAGGGAAGTAGGATTGCAGGCATGAAACCAAATCTGAGGCCAAAGTGATATTGAACCTAACTTACTTTTAATGAAGTACTGCATGCCCCACGTTGTACAGGCAACAAGATCCTGTAGAAATTCTAACTAGAAGCAATATCCATCCTCTTCCTATCTCTGAACCTCCAGTGAGCATAGGATTTAATAGCTTCAAGTCCCTTGGCTGAATTCAATAGAAAATGTCCCCCATGTACCCACCTCCTCCTCCACACTCATCCATTGAGAAAAGTTCTTTCATTGCTTTTACTGTATGTAACATGATCTGTGAATGGAGAAGAGCATTCTGCAACTCATCTGACTCTTCCCACCATTCCTGGGTTACAAAAACAACCATTGAAAGTAACAATATGAAATTTTCTCAATGGAGGAGAAGGGGGAGGTGTTTGTCAGGATTTTTTTCTATTGGATTCAGCCTGAAGACCTGAACCTATTAGGCCCCTGCATGCCAGAAGTTCAGAGACAGGAAGAAGATGGGGGATCCCTGCAGTAAAGCTTTCTATGGGATCCTGCTGCCTGCGAGATGTAGGACATATGTTATTATGACTTGGGTACAACCAGCCTGTCGGATTTCTTACATATGGTTACGGCTGGCAGCTATAGCCACCAGCAGTAATCATTGTGTTCTGCCAGCTGGGAAGGCTTCCACAGGAGGCATTCCCCCAAAAACACTGACCACAGGTTGCAGGAAAGAAAATCAAATTATCTATGGCTTTCCTTAGATACACAGATTCTGCTGTATGCTTTAAAGGTTACAAAATATTCATGCCTTTTAATCTCTCTTTCTATCAGACAGCTCTCTCCCATTGAATCGGGGCTGCTCTGTGGAAAACCACTGCAAAGAGCAGGTAAGTATAACATGTTTGTTATTAAAAAAAATAAACTTTAGTATCACTTTAATCTACACTAAGGCCCAGTTCATATCTATGTGGCAGTCTAGTCAGTCCATTAATGGCATCTCCTGGCAATTTCTTAAAGCAGGGAGTTTTGTGTGCAGCTGCATGTGGGTGCAGGAACGTATATGACTTACACATAATCCTACACCCCCACAAAATGTAAACCTCACCTTATTCTATATATTTATCTTACCTATAGAAAAACATAAAGGACAATTCAACCACCTACATGAAACACATTTTTATAACTTTTCTGGTGTTTAATAAACTGAAACAATTTTGCTAGCAAAAATTCAACAGAATAATTATTTACCTTTCTTGAATTGTACTGTATTTCATCTGTAAGTTTTTGATACTTTATGGCCTCTCTCATTATTTCCTCAAACGTATGTTCCTCAGCCAAAAAGTGATCAACATCCAAATCTGCTTGGTTGGTTATCAGGAGATTGTATTTGTCATATATTTTTAAGTGGTCTTTTGGCAAAAAGCTTTCCAAAGCAACATATTCTTTTACTTTACTTTTGTGCTTTTCCAAAACTTCCTCCAGGATGATTGGCCTCAAAGTTGTTTTTGACTCATGGTTCTAATTGGATGAAAAGGAATAGTTGATATGGTGAGCTGAAAAAATCAACATGTAGCTACTGCACTTTGCAGTGCCAAATTATGAGTAAGTCTTACTTGGCTGTAAATTGTTCATGAAACACTAGACAGAAAGTAGTTAGTGAATAGGCACAAAGATCAAGCAATGTTGTTGCCTACAATTCACAGTTTCAGTTTACTTGAAACAAACAGCCAACTGGAGTGTATTTAAAGCATTATTAAGCTCAAAACCAAAATAGGAAATACTGCAGCTTTCTAATCCTTAGAGTAGAGCGGGGCTTGCAGCCAATGACTCTACAGCTTGCCCGCCGGTGTATACCGGTGTGGCGTTTGATGTCTTGAACCTGTGATATTTGTGAGTACCCTTTTCTTACATAGTAAAGAAGTTTTAGTGTTATCACCCTATGTTGGGTTGCTTTTCTTCCTATTACTCCTGGGGTGAGCTGTGTGTCCTACAGTATTGGCTGTGTTTCAGGAGGAGAAATATGGAAGCATACAGTAGATCTGGTGGGGTTTAACTCTTTTCACAGGTGCATTTGATCTCTTTACAATACAGAGATCATATATTTCTGGTAAGAAGCTGGCCCTTTTGGTGATTTGGAAAGCTGGAAGTGCCAGATGTTTAGCGTTATTACCCTATGTGGGTCTTCTTTTTCTCCTCTTATACCTGAGGGAAGCTGTGCGTTGTAGGATAATGACTGTATCCTGAAAGGAGAACTACTTAGAAATATACAGCGTGTCCAGCGAGGTTTAAACCTTTTTCACAAGCACATTTAATCTCTATAATGCAGAGATCATTTATCTCTGGTAAGAAGTTGGCACTTATCTCTGGTAAGAAGTTGGCACTTTTGGTGGTCTGGAAAGTTTTGGACACCTAATGCTTGATTTCAATGCACAAGTTTCATACTACATGTTAGCAGCCCTTTGGGCTATTTGTGGACACTGGGTATGCACTTTTTTTCTTCAAGTTTTATGAGCAAATGTATGAGTTTACTTTTGACTGTACCTTATGTTTGTGTAACTAGTGAATCTTCTATTAGTTTTATTAATGTAAACACAGCAAAAATAGATTTTGTTGTGCACACATGTATTCAGTCACAAATTGGTTCTGGATATACAGTATGTAGTGCTGCAATTTCGCAGTACACCAAGATTTTCTGTTTTATACAATCCCTAGATATGATGGCTGCATTAGCTTCCTTTTTTAGTTTTTCCTTCTGTTTTCAATTGATGATCTGGCCAGCATTATACCTCCTGCATTAGCATGCCCCCAAACTGGATGAAGGAGCAGATATTTTTCATAGTTGTTCCAGCATATCATTTATAAATAATAATAATAGAATAAATAATAGTTTATACATGACACAAATGTTACTAGCTTGCCAGCATGTTGTGAGTCCAAGTCTTTTTGCTCCTGCTTCATAAAACATGGACTCATTTTTTAATTATGAAAATGTTTTATAATTCAATATATACAGTGAGGAAAAAAAGTATTTGAACACCCTGCGATTTTGCAAGTTCTTCCACTTAGAAATCATGGAGGGGTCTGAAATTCACATTGTAGGTGCATTCCCAGTCTGAGAGACAGAATTAAAAAAAAAATTCAGGAAATCACATTGCATGATTTTTAAAGAATTTTTTTTGTCTTGCACTGCTGAACATAAGTATTTGAACACATGAAAATCAGTGTTAATATTTGGTACAGAAGCCTTTGTTTGCAATTACAGAGGTCAAACGTTTCTTGTAGTTCTTGACGAGGTTTGCACACACTGCAAAAGGGATTTTGGCCCACTCCTCCACACAGATCTCCTCTAGATCTGTCAGGTTTTGGGGCTGTCGCTGAGCAACACGGAGTTTCAGCTCCCTCCAAAGATGTTCTATTGGATTTAGGTCTGGAGACTGGCTAGGCCACTCCAGAACCTGGATATGCTTCTTACGGAGCCACTCCTTGGTTATCCTGGCTGTGTGCTTCGAGTCGTTGTCATGTTGGAAGACCCAGCCACGACCCATCTTTAATGCTCTGACTGAGGGAAGGAGGTTGTTGCTCAAAATCTCACAATAAATGGCCCCATTCTTACTCTCCTTAATACAGTGCAGTCGTCCTGTCCCCTTTGCAGAAAAACACCCCCCAAGCATGATGTTACCGACCCCCCATGCGTCACAGTAGGAATGGTGTTCTTGGGATGCAACTCATCCTTCTTTTTCCTCCAAACACGATGAGTGAAGTTTAGACCAAAAAGTTTACTTTGGTCCATCTGACCACATGACTTTCTCCCATGCCTCCTCTGCATCATCCAGATGGTCATTGGCAAACTTCAGACGGGCCTGGACATGTGATGACTTGAACAGGGGAACCTTCCGTGCAATACATGATTTGAAACCATGACGGCATAGTGTTCAACCGACAGTGACCTTTGAAACTGTGGTCCCAGCTCTCTTCATGTCATTGACCAGCTCCTCCCTTGTAGTTCTGGGCTGATTCCTCACCTTTCTTATCAGTGATACCCCACGAGGTGAGATCTTGCATGGAGCCCCAGTCTGAGGGAGACTGACAGTCGTCTTTAGCCTCTTCCATTTTCTAACAATTGCTTCAACAGTTGATCTATTTTCACCAAGCTGCTTGGCAATTGCCCCATAGCCCTTTCCAGCCTTGTGGAGGTCCACAATTTTGTCTCTGGTGTCTTTTGACAGATCTTTGGGCTTGCCCATGGTAGTAGTTGGCGTCTGACTGACTGTGGGGTGGACAGGTGTCTTTAAAGAGCTCATACAGGTGCTACTAAGTTAGATTAATGAGTGGAGTAAAGGTGGACTTTTTAAAGGCACAGTAACAGGTCTTTGAGAGCCAGAATTCTTGCTGTTTCGAAGGTGTTCAAATACTTATGTTCAGCAGTGCAAGACAAATAAATTCTTTAAAAATCATACAATGTGATTTCCTGAATTTTTTTTTAAATTCTGTCTCTCAGATTGGGAATGCACCTACAATGGGAATTTCAGACCCCTCCATGATTTCTAAGTGGGAGAACTTGCAAAATCACAGGGTGTTCAAATACTTCTGTTCCTCACTGTACCTATAGTATTCTTCACAAAAATGGTTGTTTGTTTTTTAGGATTTGACAAATCCATCAAATACCTTTTGCTATTTAATTTGCTAAAAACACTAATTTAATTCCTTAACTTTAATTTAAAAGCAGATTTTCCTCAAACTGATAGGAATACATTGAATTTTAATTTGCTTACCCATTCAGAATAGAGCTTTGTTTCTACTCTTGGCACAAGACTTACTGCTTTAATCATCACATCATAAACATTGAGCAGCACAGTTTCATAATCATTAAAGTCAGGTTCAAATTTAATTGAAACATTTTCTAGAATGAGCCTCATTATAAACCCTGGATGTTCATAGGCACGAACTGAATCCTGGAAAAACAACAACATTGCAAGTTATTTTTTTTTTTTTTTTTGACAATAAGTCAAATATTCCGCAAATTTTTCTCTGACACACAGAAACATTTTATTGAATTAATTTGTTTAGATCTACTGCATGGCATGTTTCTAAGGTCATTTATATTGCAATTAATTTGTTTCAGTACACAGATGGCCACCTAAATGAAAAGAAAACAATTAGTAAAATACTAATGCATATAAGCAATTTGAGATTATTTATTTATCAATAAATTCCTAAGCAAAAGAATTGAGTATAAGATAATGATGTGATTTATTATTTGCCAGAACTGTACTAAGATTGCTAAATGTATGGATGCATTATAATGCAATCTGAAATCCTTCACTGCCCATTAATAGAGATTAACACAGTTATAAATGTAATTATTAAGGCAGTTAAAAAGTGCAATCATTATGAGAAAGAAATTAACATAATTGCACATGCGGGACTGATTTACTAACGGAGCTGAAAATCTTCACTCAATAAATTGTGTGAAAATATATTTAACTATCCAATCATGTGAAAAGAAAATTCCTGTTGACTTTGACTACTCAGTCATGTACAGACGACATAACTAAAAAGGAATTTGCTTTTCATATGAGTGGACAATTTAATTAAAACGTTCCAAAACTTTATTGTGTGAAGATTCTAAACTTCCTTAGTAAATCAGCCCATTTGTTTTTACCTTTCTGCTATACCTCTGGGCATCGGTACTGCATGGCATGTAGGAAGGGAATAGATCTCTCAAAACCTTGTCCACAAGAATGAAGGTAAGTGAAAAAAAAAAAAGAAATATGCTTAGTACTCAACTGTGTTTTTAACCATTTCCATACCGGGCACTTTCACCCCCTTCCCTCCCAGGCCATTTTTCATGTTTCAGTGCTCTCACACTTTGAATGACAATTGTGCGGTCATACAACATTGTACACAAACTAAAATTTTATCATTTTCTTCACACAACTAGAGCTTTGTTTTGGTGGTATTTAATCACCGCCAAGGTTTTTATTTTTTGCTAAATTAACAAAAAAAGACCGAAAATTTTGAAACAAAAAACACGTTTTTCTTTGTTTCTGTTATAAAAGTTTGCAAATAAATAATTGTTCTTCATAAATTTAGGTCAAGGTGTATTCTGCTACATATCTTTGGTGAAAATAACCCAAATTAGGATGTATTTTTTAGTTTGTAGGAAAGTTATAGAGTTCACAAACTATGGTATAGATCTGAATATTGATCAATCCTGAAGTACTGACAGCCAATTTTTTTTTACATACTGTCACCAGGGAATTTCCATGTTTGGCCCCTGTGGTTAAAGATCTACTAATCGACTTATGCTCAACTGCCCTGTCGGACTTTTGCTGCTTGATCAGTGTATGCTGATGGCAGAGTAATGTCCCTGCTGTCAGAATACAAAAAGACACAGTGGGGAATGTGTAGATGGGGGAACTGGGTCAGTTTCTTTCTTCCAACTCGCTAGT